GCCAGCGATCGCATGAAAGACCGATACGACATCAGAGCTGGGGGTGCAGGATACGAAGAATGAGACCTGGTGTGGTTGTTCAATCCACAAAGGAAACGAGGTATTTGTCCAAAACTACAGAAATCTTGGGAAGTACCTTATACTGTCAAGAAGAAGATCAACGATGTCATCTACCGCATCAGTAAAGAACCAAGTGGCAAACCAAGAGTCGTTCATTTAAACAGACTAGCATCATTCGAGGGAACACAAGATCAACAAGTTCAACAAATTTGTCCAGTAGGAGAGGAGCTTACATTCGACGAATTCATTGGGAAATACAGTGGTTCATCATAAGCAAGGTTTGGCGTCACCAAGGAAGAGCACCGCGTCCTTTTTGCCATTCCTGAAGAATACGCACTAGCTCACTGCGTCGCCGAGGATCTTCAGATGTCTCAAGGAATAGCGAACAAGTTCATGAGGAAGTTCAAGAAGTTAGAGGAGCTTCATCAACAAGGTTCCTCCGTCGGTCGAGCACTAGAAATAGAAGATATCAGCGCTGAAGGAAGAAGGTCTCTGTTTCATCTCATAACGAAAGGGAGATCTTCTGAGAAACCCACTTACAAGGACCTCTGGAAGACCCTAGACGACTTGCGAAGCACCATACTCGAGAAGGACATACAGAAGATAACTGTTCCAAAGCTGGGGTGTGGGCTGGATGACTTCAATTGGAGAGTTGTGAGGAACATGCTAGAGGTTTTATTTAGATTCACCGGAGTTGAAATTCTGGTATTCTGCTGGAACTCCAAAGGAACTCCAAGAGAGAGGACAGTGCCATGCTATTTCTACCATACTGCACGTTGTGAAAATGAAACCAGTTGTCCCTATCTTCATAACGATCAGAGTGAATTCCAGGAGGAATGCGTTTTATGGAGGGGGCAGTGTGATGATATTCCCCTCAGAGGAGCTCTAGAAACATCAGCAGGAAGGCAGGAGTACAACGATCATTTCGTATTACGCATCCCAGATTGCTCTCCAACCTCTCAATGATTCCTACATACACTAGCATATTTCCGAACACTCAATATATGCCGCAGTGACAGATAACGTCACAGAAGATTATGGAATGTTCTGGAAACAATCGATGGAACAATTAGAGAGAAAGGATTGTTCTAAGAAGCTTCTAGAAGAAAAAGAAGGAGACGGAGATCATTCGAGAAGGTTCTCGAACCAAAGCCAGCCAAGTGATCTCATATATAATCGGCCGAATAACTGCCGTCAGTCGGTCAAGCAGCGAGTGTCAGAGAGACAGTTACATACCGCGTGATATAAATCATTTTACATAAATAGTAATAATGAGTTCGATATAAATTAGTGTTTCTATAGTTCAAATGAATCAGTTCGAAAATAAATATTGTCGTGGTCGCTTCTGCACCCGAATAACGTAACAATATGTCACTGAGAAGTGTCGAACTCTATGACCATAACTTCCGAAAAAGAATATTTTTTCATCCTAATGTTGAGAACGGAAGCAGACTCATTTCCGAAGTAACCAGAGCTGAGTATAAATTCGATGATTTCTCTTCTAAATTTTTTCCAAAATAAGTGTCACTGACAAGCTATCAGATATTTCTTCAAGGCTCCCTGATAAAAAAATGTTTCAAACGCAGTGGCTTTTTGTGGCAAAGGATCTGATTTGTCCCACTACACATTTTTGAAATAACGAAATATAGAAACGAACAGAAAGAATCGCAAATAATCATGTAGGATGATTGTAATACTCCCTCGATGGAACTACAAATAGTATTCACATTGTATGTCGCCGATTCTATTTCTTCTTTCTTTTAACAGAATATGACTCCATTGTGTTATTGTTTCAGGATAAATGACATCTCCTATAAAATGTAAAATTACAGCTCTGTCTACTGGATCATTACCTAAGAGATAAACAGAAGACTATTAGTCGAAGAAATGAAGAATTTCACTATTGTCTGTTGGAGCTATAGCAAAAAAGAGAAACTCACACGGATTGTTGAATTTTCACTCATGGGAAATGACTCCCAAATAGCACACAATCGCCTAGGGTCATCCTCAATGTGTCGCCAAACGCCTAGAGAGGACGTTATATTTTCTACAACCTAAGAACATCATCAGGCATTGATTTAGCGCCGTAATTGTCCTAGGAAAGTTCTTTTAGTGACAGCCTGAGGCTGCAGCGGATTTCGTGCCTACGAATGTCTTCAGATGACATTCCATGAAATAACGTGTCGACGAAGCCAAAAGGAAGAAGAAGAAGAACTAGAAATACTAGAAGTGAGGTTATGTCTCATGATAATATTTCTCTGAGAAATTGATGAGATGATGAGAAATCCAGGTAACCAATTGATCAAATCATTGATAGTAGGAACTGGACAAAAAATATTAATTATATTATTTCATTTCAGGAGGTTATTGAGAACACAAACTTGATATCATCAGAGCAGATATGTTTAATTCCGAAATATTTTGGCTTTTTCTGAATCTATCAAACATTGTATAAAGGCTTGAACTTTCAGTGGATTCAATAAAGATAGGTACCTACCTGAATCAACTCACTGATAATAGGTACTGGACATGAAATATTAATACATTATTATTTGTTTCAGGAGGTTATTGATGAGAACACAAATTTGATCATTATAGCATCAGATCAGAGATGTTTGATATCCCAACATATTTTGACTTTTCGGAATCTATAAAAGATTGTATGCAGGCTTTAACTTCCAGTATAGATACAATTAAGGTACTAGGTAGAAAGCAAATCATATTGATAGTAGGTTTACCTACTGGACATAAAATATACATTATTCATTTCAGGAAGTTATTGAGAACACAAACTTGATGATATCATATTATCAGAGCAGAGATGTTTCATTCCAAGAAATTTTGGCTTCTTCAGAATATCCAAGTGATTGTATATGCAGGCTTGAACTCTCAGTAGTTTCAATGAAGGTAGGTACCTGAATCAAAACATTGATAGTATAGGTAGGTACTGGGAAGACGGCTGTGGTCTGGACATGGAATAATAATACATTATTCATTTCAGGATGTTATTGAGAACACAAACTTTTGATGCTATGATCAGAGCAGAGATTTTCAAATCAAAGATATTTCAGCTTGTTCGGAATCTATGAAAGATTGTATGCAGGCTTGAACTTTCAGTAAATTGAGCATCTGAAAGTATGCCCAGGGTTCATAAATGATAACAAGAAGAGAAATTACAACAGCATTAGAACGAAACATGAATCATCATGATGCATCATTATGTCTCTGAGGAAGAAGAGAACAGAGGTAGGTGAATCAAGTCATAGATATTACATGGATATGGATATGTGATCATTGTTTGTTTCAGAAGGGAAACACAAACTTGATGTCATCTATAAAATATTGTATGAAGGCTTCAACATTCAGTAGATTCAGCATCCAGGGTTGAGAGATCAAAAACAATATAGAGAAATATTGCCAATGAACAATAACTTCTAGTAGTTCTCAACAAGAAGCTGAGATACATTTTTTCAAGACGAAACTTGAAAAAATTTCACAATAAGTTATAAATAATAGAATGTAACTTTTTTATTTGAACATATTATTATTCTAGAGAAATTTTGCAAATATCATGATATCCATATTTTTTCAATAAAATACTACCTAAAGATGTTTCCATAATGTCCTATACATGTCCCAGAAGACCTTATATGAATGTTCCAAGACGTTATTAGGATGTAGAGAACGGTAACAGGAGGACGGCCTAGGGAATTCGTCACGCTCGCCCTCGACGACCTGAGGACATAATTGTGAAAGTCTCAGAAGGGCCTCAAATGAATTCGTGCTATCTGGGTATCATTCCGTGCTTTTTCTACGATATACTGTTATTTCTACTTCATCCAGATAATTAGAACTCCAACTCAAACATCAAACTTTCGGTGTTTTTTTTTACAAATTTCATAACGATGACAAAAAATTCAAAGAATCAACAGTAGGCCTCTCAAATCATACAGGGTGTTGTGGATCAATATTGTCATAAAATTATATAATTTGAAAATCATTTTGCTAATTGCAATTACACTCAACGGTGGTTCTGATAACAGTAACAAGAAGCTTCTTTTTATGTAGGTATAATTAGATTTGTGATAACTCCATAGTGCTGTGTCAGTGGGTTACCTTAGTGGCATTTAGAGATGGTATCATCGTATGCCGCTGTTTTTCGTCAGTATGATAATTTATATTTGATTGCACATTAGAAAATACAACTTGCCCCCTGTCCCCATTTAATATCTTGCTTTTAGTTCTGTATGGAACAATGAGATTTGATCTGACTTCAAATTGTAAAATGAATGCTCTAGACACCCGTTGAGATTACTCATCAACCTCAATAGGTAATATTCAGAAATTTTGAAACTTTGTCAAGAAGGTACCAACCAAAATGAATTCTGCAGTAATAAAAGGTGATATGGGTTCATTGAAAATTAAATTCGAACTGCAATAGCCTTCGCCTTCATAACGAAGCAGATTCGCGATAGGGTCTCAATTCAGTTTTTTTTTTCACGCCTTGTATGATGAATATCAATTTATCATACACCCAAAAGCAACATGTTATTCATCAAATAATGCTTTAGCATTCCTTTTCGATGAAATACGTTATGAGATGGGTGGTGAACAAGTATATATGGTTCGAAAACCGGCATCACTACAGTCATGAAAAGTATGATTTCCTATAGTGAGGCGAATGCAAAATTCCTAGAAACAGTTGGATGGGGTCTGGTAAATGGTAATCAATGTATTTCAGATGAAAAGCCGCGTTTTCAGAAGTAAGATATCTCTCAAATATCTGATGGGGTTCGCTGAAGATTATAAAAAATCTATTTTGAATATCAAGCAGGAGTTGATCCTCATTGTAGCTCGCTCATTCAAGAATTCCTACATGGAAGAAGTTGATGCCACATTGGAGATACCTAAACAGAATTGAATAGAAGATCAGATATGTGATGCTATCGGATAAGCAGAGACTGAAGCTGTTGTATCGTCTGAATAGGAGTACAACTGCAAAAGTGAAAATTGCATACCGGATGTGGGATCTATATGAGTTACCAACCATCCGTGAAACAGCTTCGGATATTTGGGCTGTTAAAACTACCAATAGTCTCGAGCGACCACGATTCATCATCATAGGCTTCCAGAACTCTGTGAACAAAGATCATAGATCTGAGGATGTCACACAATTCACCCATGCAGGAGTCAGCAATATTTGTCTGTATCTGAATTTGGAAGTTTATCCATATGAACGGTGGAATTTGGATTTCGATGAGAAATTAGATGCGATAGCCTATTATGCATACGAAAAATTTCAAGGTAGTTACTACGGCAAAGATATGGGTGAACCAATGATGAGCATTGAAGAATGTCATGCAAACCCTCTATTCATCATCGATTGCAATCATCAACCCGATGCAATGGAATCCTCAACTGTCGACATCAAGTTGGAGTTTGAAACACGTAAAACGAAGTTTTCATCACACACCAAAATTTACGCATTGATTCTTCATGATGCATATTCGACTAGTGCATTGGATGGTTCCATACAGATGGATGCTATATAAATCATCAATACTCATGTGTTAGTATTCAATTAGCAATAGTTGAAACATTGGTTGTTCAAATATATTGAAAAAAACTGAATAGAATTCGAATGTGTGTGTTTTATTTTCCACTTCGATGAATTATTGATAATATGCATTTTCCACAAGAATCTGAGGGTTTTCTTCTTCTCCAGCGTCAGACACCTCCGGGGTTATACCAATACACCTCGAACAAGGTGGTTTGGTAGAAAATCCGAAATTTCATAAAGGAATTGCACCAAGTCCTCTTCAACCATTGCTTCCACAAATTCCTCAACATTGATGTTTCCATATTCGAATCGGGCACAGAGTAGAAAGCCCAATTTGTACTGATTAGCCTGATTGTAGAGTCGTTGAACTTGTTCTTTATCTAAACATACGCTTGTGTCATAATTCATTGCTTATAGTGTTTTCTGCTCCAACTCGTAGAATTGGCATTTCAACCTCCTCAAAGCTGAGTTGATATCTTTCGCTATCGGCCATGATTGACTAGTATAATAATAATAATAATAATAATAATAATACATTCGCATATTCACGATTGAAGTGATGTATCCTGCAAGATAAATAAAAATGTTATGATCACGATCAATGTAAATGTTAGCCACCAATTCATGATATACCTCTGATATATCACTAACCACTATATTTTCAATACGTGATAAGTGCAATTATATGGTGTGTGAGGTTTACTATATAATATCCAAACCCCTTCTCATTATGCTAACTAACTCTACTCAATATATCTATTTTATCCTAATTGAAAATTATTCATACTTTTTTGCAATCAAATTCAATGAGAGCTCTGGTCTTGGCACCAGCAAAAATTGGCTCACTTTGCTCCAAGTATGTTGAAGTATAAGAATCATTAGAAGAATTCATCTCGTCAATATCGCTCTCCACTAAATGATCTACAACTCTCTTCGGTAGCCAACATTTCAAATTCACTTCGGTCTCATCATCATCATACAGAATCACGGTACCACTTCTTCCGAATTTAGTTCCACATAAAGAAACTTTTTTGATTGTGTAACTCATATTCAGAGGTAGTGATGAAATTATCTGTCTGATTAATTCGCTTTCTTTATTGATTCTTTCATTGATTGCAACCAAATCAATTTTTGTTGCTGACATTATTCTTTTCGAGGTGAAAGGGGTATGAGAAGTATATAAATAAACGTACTTACAGACCACCTTCCAGCACACTCACACTTATCTGAGTAGGTACTATGTCCAATATTATTGCGAGATTTATGTTTGTGTAGGTGAGCGATACCGTATTTATAGAAACTAGGTATGTGACGTTCTACGCCCTCCCACTAATACAAAATCGTAACGTAACGATGTGTGTACGAATCCTCCTCCCTCAAGGTTACTCTCTCGTCAAGGACGCTACTCTCCCAAGGCCACTTCCACAAGGTCATTCCACTCTTCAAGGTCACTCACTCTCAAGGTCACTCCTCCAAGGTCACTCACCAAGGACACTTCCTCCCAAGATCACTCACTAAGGTCACTCCACTCCCCCTCAAGGTCACTCCTCCTAAGGTCACTCTCAAGGTCACTTCCTCTTAGGTCACTTCCTCCAAGGTCACACTCCTCTGGCCTTGGGAGGAGACCCAGAACCGGCGAAAACTATCTACTCTTTTTTGTTTCTGGAATCGATGAACAGTATTCGTTACAATATCATTGAAAGAGATTCATGAAGTGATGCAAAAATATTTCTTCGATTCTTCAGATGTCATCAAAATTCCCAAATTCTCAAGTTATGCGTTGGTCAAGGAAAAAGGTGACGATGTAGTATCCATTCATTATCATGGGGACATAATTGGAGTGATTTCACCAAGAGTGGATCAGCTGACCAACAAAACAGGTAAGCATTTGTTTGTCTATCAACATTCTTTGCATGATCAAATCAACTCATGGAGATAATCATGCAATGAATCTAAATTTCAATACCTACCTCCTGTCCCTATCCTCCCTAGGAACGCACGATGTTCTCCGAACATTATAGGGATTCCCTTTCGTGCGCTCCAAGAGATAAAAAAAAAAAAAAAAAAAAAAAAAGGAGTTCATATCAGTGTAATTCCTTGTATTGATTTTCTTGTTCTTGCAACGAAAGCTGCAGATGAATATATCAGATACCACCTTGAAACCAGTATGATCTGAGTAAGACAAATATATCATTTCGTTTCTTTCTTATCATATCTTTCATTTTGTGTGACAATTTTGTCTGGAAATACACAATATCAACTTCTTGCTACCAACTTCTTCCACTTATGCATATGCTGTTTCATAGAAATAGCTTGAGCTGTGATTCTCTGATTTTTCATTCGATATTCGAAAATGGGACATCAGAAGGTTCAAAAAACAATACAGAAGATTACTAAAAGAATTGAATTTTTCATCAACTACATATTTTTTCCCCCAAATCAAATTCTGTTTCACAACCCAGCTACGATGTGTAGTAGGTAGGTCACCCTCCTGCTGCCAAGCATAACTTCTTTAGATCGTGATAATATTCCGAATCGACTATGTTGATTGAATATCAGGAAAATTCCTGACCCTGGCAGTGAATCGATCCCACGTCTACTGAAGATGGCTCTTTTTAAATAAAATATTGAGGATGATCTCTGAATCCGTATGGCTGTAACTCAAGAAGTTCAATGCTCTGAAAGATCATTATATTCTCATATAGTGGACAACAATCAACTATTCTACGAGGGAATTCCTCAATTCTCTGCCTAGTCAAACCAGTTCATCAGCTGAAACTTCGGAAAAACAGGAACAGTATATAAAATAACGCAGTTTTTCCAGTGCTGACGGCGCCTCTGGTGCATTGACAAGGTCAACATTTTGGACTATTCGATGGAATCTACTACTACATAACAACCATAACCCGACATCTGGCATCTATGTTCATTAGGTTAACTACGGTTGAGATGGATCAATGTTTTCCACCGAGCTATAATCACCAGTCTTTCCATTTGTGAATGAGATAGTGATTTGCTATCTGGGGGTGTTCGCTATATTGGATCCGGATCTACTACACGTAGATAATCGTATTGTACTCATGAAATCCGTCAATGTGATGAATATGTCGAGATAGTTGAGGAGAGGAAATGATCATACTGCACCCACCATATCTGATTTGCTCCATTTCCACTTGTGATACTCCTTCATCTGATGAACTTGAGGAGGTTGTGAACCAAAGGTGATCATTCATCTCAGGGCGTTCACCATATAAGGTTCAGAATCAACTTATGATGCTCATAAAATTATATACATCAACGTTTTCCATCTGATGTTGAAAGATATGAGGAATGTGTTTATTTATCATCAATCAATTATATTTTTGGTTGCAGAGCTATAACCTTCTCAGAGTCATCAATTTGCATAAAAATGTTCCTGAAGATAATGAAGTATCAGTATTTTCTAGGTCTTCTAGGTCATGAAAATAAATTGATTATGGAATAATAAGATCAAATGATAAAACAATTGAATCTCTAATATCTGACATTGAGTCTTCATACAATTTTAATTATTACTTAGATATTTTGTTTTCGACGAAAGTTCTACTCGATGATCATAGTGAATTCCAAGCAATGCACCAATATCTTCTTTTTGGGTTCCTGAAGGATCATCGTCGTAACTGTTCGACCTCTCATAAGTGGTGGAATGTTCTGGGTGACAGAAGTGTCTAAGGGGAAGTTCTTCAGGCTGTACGATCCCTGAAAAGAATCGATGGATAACAAAATCTGAGGATTAATCCATTAACAACTGAATAGGCTCTCGGAATGTAAACTGCAGGATATATTTCACATACAACACATGAAATTGTTTTATTAGAATGACACATTTCCTTATTCCTATCGTGTATCGCCATACAGGATTTCACTAATTCAATATGGATTGTATTTCCTGAACGATGAGATATAGCAAGAAATGAAAGAGGGATCGACAAGAATAATCACATTATAAGAAAAATCGGAATTTGAATTTTTTCAATGTGATGTTCTTCAATTTGTAAGAATATCTGATATCCGTTGGGTTCGTTAATGAACTCACATATCCTCAAATTCTAGGTACGTGAAAATGATCAATTACCTGATTTCGAACGTATCTTGATTATTCAACTGAAAATGTGTATCTTTGGCCTTCCTGTGGATATTTCTCCACTTTGAATAATAATGTAGCCTAGTTGCATGTGATATACGAGTATATCGGGTGAGTGAAATGATTTAGAAAACCTTGGTAAATTTTTTTTCTGCTGTGCTTCCCAAGAGAGATACAGCCTCTCAAAGGGGGGCTCGGAAAATAATTCTGTATTATTATCTTCAACACCTTGTATGATGAAACTCTAAAATTTTGTTTAATCACTGAATATTCAATGCCGGTTCAAATGTAGTTGATATCACTTCAAATTTAAATACAGGGGTGTGTCAAAATAGGAAGTTAGGGGATAAAAATAACCTCAACTTCTTTGTTCATCGCAATTCCAGTTTTTTCACATGAAATTATGAAATCTCAGGGCTATCAACAAAGGAAAGGAGCTCCTGTTGAATCTCGATAAAATGAATCATCAGCGAATAAAATTTATTTTTCCAAGATTTCATTCAAATTGCAATTTTGGTATGCGCTCAAGTTCGATTAGGTACCTATCTAGTTCAAATCTTGCAACTGAATTTATGAAATTATGTCGTGAACAAATACTGTATCAGAGGACACTTCGAGGAGTGGAATGATGATTAGGCATCACGTCATTAGAGAATTCTCACAACGCTGAAGTAATGTTGCGGATAACTCACTTAAATTTTTTTCGCTAATAGTTTATTTTATCGAGATGCAACAAGAGCACCTATTCTATGTAAATAGCCCTGAGATTTCATGATTCCATATCAAACTGAAATTGCGATAAACAAAAAAGTTGGGGTTATCCTCACTCCCTACCTCCCTATTTTGACACACCCCTGTATTTAATTTTGGGGTGATCTTAACTCCATTCGAACCGGTACTGAATAGTGAGTGTATGGACGAAATTTCAGATTTCCATTACACAAGGTCTTGGAGATAATAATACAAAATCATTCTCCGAGGTTCCCCTTTGAGGGGCTGTATCTCTCTTAGGGGTCACTTCAGAAAAAAACTTTACAGAGGTTTTCATTACTATCTCACCCACCCCATATGCTTCCAAAGTTTGACCAACCATTTTGAAATCACCTTGTTTAGTAATTATCAGATTGACTGATTGATTGATTGATTGATAGCAGAATGACCAATTGGAGTTCAAAGCTCAAAACACTGCAGCCTCTGGGCCTATTGTATTCCTGATTATGATGTTGACTCAGGTGAACAGGTTCGCTTCCTTGATGTGGTTTAGCAGTCTCTTCATCAAATCTTGCCTTGTTAAAACCTCATGTGAGTGTTGTGCATCCAGAAGATTGTTACTCCAACGCGCTAGTGCCTCGCACTCCAATATCACATAAGTGGCCCTTAACTCCCTCTCCCTCCATTGCATATTCTGAATATTGGTTCGTCTGTATAGGTGCCCATTTGATGCATATGCTCCCTAATTGGGACAGTGACCAGTTTCTTGTCCCGTCACTTGTCCGATCTGACTTCTGTTTAGGCTCAAAATGTCGTGAGTCACTGTTCTGGATAGTGTCTCAACCATCAGTTTGCTGAAGATATGTCCTGAAACGTTGTTCTAGTATATCTGATGTATTTCTTGTGCCCACTACGCCAGCCAGAAACGTATTGAGGTTTCGAGGATTTTCAACACATGTTAATGTCTAATAAACATCGCCTTAGACTCTAGCCTGGCGAGAGCGTGAGCTGCTCAATCGACTTCGATTACCATATGCTCTGGTACCAATCGAAGCGTAACTTTCTTGTGGTTAGCCAGGGTGAGCAGGCTCCGAAGTAAATTCCAGACCAGTATTGATTTAATTTCATCGCATGTTGAAGTTTGGATGGCAGCCTGACTATCTGAGCATATGGGGATTTGTCGACCTCTGTTTCCTCTCACGATAATCTCTCTCAGATATGTATCGAAAGAATGCACCTCTTCCTGGAATACTGGAGCATACCTTCCCAAAGAAACACAATCCCCTCATTCTGGGCATATCTCTATATATCTCATCTTTGGTACCCTCATCAGTCTTAGATCCGTCAGTGTACCACACTAACGTGCCTTCCTGACAGTTAGTCGAGAACCAAACCATCCAAGTAGATCCGAGTGTAGTAGGATCTGTAATTATCATTTTCGCGCAGCATCATTCCACTTCTCATCTCCATCAGTATGCTTGAAACTAGGCTGATCATTCTGGTATGTCCAGGGAAGTCACCAATAACATGTCAGTTGCAACTATACTCCAGTTATTGTGCTCCTTTTCTCGCTCTTGCCTTGATGGAGATATCAGGGGCGGAATATTGAGTGGTATTTTCATAGCAGTGGGAGGTGTGCTGCGCAGTTCACCTGTCATGCAGAGACAAACTAATGTCTGGAATTCTCAGAGCTCCATTATAGCTAATCTCTTATCAGTCTTAGGCCACCAGACGAACGATCCGTATACAATTCTTGCTCTCACCACAGCAGTATACAGCCATGCGTGCAGGACCCAGGTGTGATCAATCGCTCTCGAAGCAGGCATTAGTGCCATTTTGCCTTTGCTGACAGTCTTCCACAGTTGAGTATTCCAGCATTAGCGTCTACGGTTACTCCTGAATATTCAACTTCCTGTGTCATACTCAGCTGTGTTTCGAAAAGTCTAGGGAATTTTGGTTTGTCCAGTTCTTTTTACGTGAAGGCCACAAGTGCAGTTTCACTAGGGTCAACCCTGATGTCTACCATTCTGCCCCCGTCCTCTCTTATGAAAATGGCTTGCTGCATCGAGTCTGGAATAATTCCAGGATGCCACCCCTCTACAAGAATGACGACATCATCTGTATACCCTTGAGAGTAGATTTCAACATTTATTGTTCTCCTAGGAGTTCGTCACTAACCAGATTCCATAGCAGAAGAGAAAAAACTTTTACCTGTGGGAAACTCCAAGGAATTGTCACCATCATGATTTTTCCTATTGATGATGGCCAGGAAGGCCGCGAGAGCTACGTACTTAATGCTTATTGCGTCTACAATTTCCACCACCAGTCGATGAAGTGCCGTTTGACTAGATTTTCCCTGTTGATATACATGCCTATTTTTATGTAGTGACCTTTCAATGGAGAAGTTTTTTTGATATGTATTTCAATGAGCTGCTCTATCACCTTCAACATAAATGATGATAGGATTATCGGCCTGAACGCCTGACCCTGATACTACACTCTCAGGCTTTGAAATGGAGATGATCCTCGCTCTCTACCATGCAACTGGAATGTCACCCGTTGTCAGACTTGCTCTCACTAACCCACGAATATTCGGAACAAGCTGAACTTCACCCTGCTGTAGCATTGTAGGGATTATTCCATCTGGTCCCGGCATTTTGAAGGATCCACCCAGATTCCTCAGAGTTGCCCTGCCAGTTTCACTATATTTTCCGTCAAGTTTCATGATATCCCCCATAGGATTTTCAGGTTCCTTGACTGGGATTCGATGAAGGCGTGCGGCTTCTTATATGAATATATAACGGTTGATATTTTCCGGAAATCTCTGTTATCATTGCATCGCTACCAATACCAGTCTGACAAACTAGACAGGCCCAGTCAGCACCTTCTCTCGTTGTCAACGTCAGGATATGCCAAACAGCACTTGATCAAAACTTGTTTGTTTATAATTCGGCATACATCAGGAAATCAGTGCCTGAGAAAGTGTTTCAAATCATTTAGATTCATAAGGTTTCCTGGCATCGAGCGAGTGAATTCCAATTGAAATGATTCCTGGTACTATGTTGTTCCTCAAATTCAGTATAGTTATGGAGTTGGTTCAATTCGATATCACAGTGATCGAGAAAGCAACATCAGAAAACCATCAGAATAATAATGCAAAGATATCGATCCCAAGCTGCTGCCCTCACTGATGCGAATGAGGGCTAGTGGATGTTCCCGACTTCCGCAATGTTGTATCGTTAGAATATCACCATATATATGCATCATTCGTACGAGAACGAACGATATCAAAATCAATTCCGAATTATTGACTATGCAGAACAGACCGGAATGTATTGACAAGGACAATGTCAGCGCAGCCGAAGAATAACTGAGAATGATAATTGACGAAAACAAGATCGCCAAGGTAGCCAAGAAACGACCAAACCTATGGACCCATCTCTGATTTGTAGTGTCTCTGTTGATACTAGTGATATCCAGTGTTGCCAACAGAAAATTCTGAAAACGGCTAGATAAGTATTGAAGAGGGCTATTCTCAGATATAATCATGATTATGAAAATATGGTTATATATATGTCGTCATTAATCAGGGAAATTTCTGAAATGCCTAGTAATTTCACGTATTGTCGGCAAACAGCGTGACAGCGTTGCATGAAAAGGAAGACTATTTTTCCGCCTCAAGGAACCTCCTTCCAAAGGAGTATATTTTTCAGAAGATTACTTGAGAAAACAGAAGAAAATACTACTACTCAATAACCTGGGCTTACTCGGTCTGAATGAACCTTTCTTCGGTCATAACAATGAATACCTGAAACTATCAGGCAAACGGTGTACAAAATTCAGAGTTACGCTGTTGGCCGGCAATACGTGAAATGAATATAGGCGTTCCAGAGAATGACGGATT